ACATAAAAAATAAAGATGTGTTCACTGAAAGCTGAAAAATGAATATTAGAAAATTCTCTCTCTCTTTCTTAAAAAAAAAAAAAAAAAGCTCCACCACTGAGCTGCAGCCCCAGTCCCTCTGAAATGATCTTGAGTGTGGGGCAAAAGGAGGGCATGGCTCACAGTCCTTCACATTGATCTGAGACTCTGGGACCCTGATCTGGTCAGAATAAATTATATCTTTTTTTATTTTTTCCTCAGTACTGTGGATTGAGTCCCAGGGGCATTTACTGCTAAGCCATATCATAGTCCTTTTTAAGTCACATCCCAGTATATTTTGAGACAGGGCCTCAATAAGTTGTTGAGCCTGGCCTCCAACTTGCGATCCTCCTGCTTCCTTCAGCCTTGCTGGTATCTGGGATCACAGGCATTCGCCATCACTCCTGGTCCTTTTCTGTTTTTTTATCCATAGCCCAAGTGTTGGTTGAATTGAATTAAAAGTAGGATAGAGCTGGGCATGGTGGCTCCCAATGAGCCTGTGACAGGACTGCAAATTTAGCAAGATCCTGTCTCAAACAAAAGACAAACCAGGCTGGAGACGTGGCTCAGTGGGAGTGAACTCTGGTCCAGTCCCTAGTAACACGTAAGACGCTCAAAGGGATGGGAGAGTGCCAGCTGCAGAGGATACGTGGACTTAATACTAACACCAGTCCAAACATCTGGGCACTCTCAAAGGTAAATTCTAGCACAAACTGCTGAACCCTATGTTTTCTTCTGATTGGGATTTAAAATTAAACCCCAGCATTGTGGGGCTGTGATCTGTGGCAGTCTCATGGCTCTCTGAAAGGTCAAGCTACACAGAATGAAGTGAAGAACACAGGGGTCAGGATCAGCGAAGGCACTGTGGCTTGTTCTAATGGGCTGAATCTCCCTTTTCTGGTTATTTGGCTTCTGGTGGGTTTGAGAGCCAGATCTACTGGCGTTAATTTCTGTGGACTTAAATAAATACCATACCGCTCACATAATTTTGAAAAAAGTGACATTTAGCATTTTTACTTATGGCGGTATTTCTGAGAGTTTAGGTTCTTGAAATTCAAGAGATTTCATCCAACATAAATAATTTAACACTAGAGTTACACATTCATCCCAAGGTGTGTATATGTGTTATGTAAAGAAAAAAAATGTGTTAACCAAAATTTAACTTTAACTCAGGGGTATTTTATCATTGAGCCACATCCCCAAGCCCTCCTTTTTTTTTTGGTCCTGAGACACATCCCCAGCCTCTCTTGTTCTATTTTGAGATGATAGGATCTTGTTAAGCTGCTGGGGCTGGCCTCCAACTTGTTGTGATCCTCCTGCCTCAGCCTCCTGAGCTGTTGGGATTACAGTACTGCACCTGGCCATGCTCCTACACTCTTTGAGAATAAACACTAACTGTTCTAAGGTGCAGGCCAGTTTGAGAACCACTGCTCTAAAGCAACTACATATCCCATCCAAATCATTTCCACAGCAGAGGCTCTTTAGATCCTGCAGATCCACCTCACAGAGACTCTACTGAATGCACAGAATGGCCCCACCTGTCAGATATCCTTGAATGCTCTTAGGTAGTGCTGCCTTTCTGGATCCCTGAACACCTCGCCCTGTACACCAGGTGTTCCACAGGTGGAGAAAAGCCATGTGAGCCAGCCCATCTGCTCAGGGGCAGCCAAGGCAGCTGGCCACTGCAGCTGTGAGCCAGGTGTGCAGTCCCAAGCCACCTGCCCCTTCCCCCCCTCAGCCTTCCTCTGCTACCCCACCTGTCTTCCTGCATCGCCTAGGCTACGGCACCCTGCTCCCAGTCTGGAGACATTTGCTTTCTTTGCAGGATGCTAAACCCAGTGAACACAGAAGAAAAAAGATGCCATTAAAAGGAAGGGAAAAAAACCAAAACCCACACACGAGATGTTCTAGCACCTCATCCTTAGCAACTGTTGAGTTAGGACAGCGGGCTCAAGGTGCATGGCCTTGGATGTGGCCCCATGCTCTGGACTTAGGAGGAGCAACTGCCGGCTCTTGCAAAATTGTCCTGTTGCTTTATGTCTGAGCTGGGCAGCTCACCCGGGGACATCAGGTTGGCTGTCCAGTCAGTACGCTCTCTGCAATCTTTTATCACCACGACGGTCTCATGATAACACGAGCCGCCTCTTACTGCCTCCCACAAAAGTGATGATAAATCCTCTACACCTAGAATTTCATATAAGGCAAAGCAAACAGCAGTTACAATGGCAAGTGATGTATTTGGCTTAAAGAAGCTTGTTACTAAGGTTAACGCAAAGTCTGGTCTCAGTCCACGGGAATATTAAATATATATCCTAAGGGGTCAAAGTCATCTATTATAAACGGCAAAAGCCCTGGATATAAATAGACATTTCTTTAGGGTTTGGCATCAGTTTTTCAATGTCCACCCCCAAAGCACACAGTTTGTCTGAGGGGTTCATTTTGAGGGCTCGTCTGCACTGGGGCGTAGGCCAGCGGCCCCTGGCTGGGGTTCAGTGGGCTCCCTTCAGTTTGGTAGCCGGTGTGGCCTGCGGACGTCTGTGGCCCTCGGGTGGAGGGGTGACAGTCACAGGTGCTGCAGGGCTTCCTGTCCTTGCTCTGTGTACCCGTCGTCCCGCTGGGTGTTGGCCCACTGGCCGAAGGACTCGTGGATGTGCATGCTCCTCTGCGTGTTGGCCAGGCGCTTCTTATCTCTGGAGAAGAAGCTAAACCTTTTGGAAGGGAAATGAGACAGAAATGAGAGCCGGCCCTTTGCCGCACGTGGTCTTTTTTTGTTGACAATGCCAGGGACACACAGCAAACATGGGGGCAAATCCACATAAGGAAGAAGTCACAGGGTAGGTCAGAGGATTCTCTAGAAAGCAGCAGGGGCGTCTGCATGGCATTCAGCCCCAAGACCTTGGAGGCCGCTTGAGCAAGGCATGCACATGTGAAATGTGTGAGATCCTTCTGGGGACCAGGGGACACTGAGAGTTATGGGAATACATCTCGGTTCTGTTCTTTAGTGCCAGGAGTGGAACCCAGGCCCTGCTCATGCCAGGCAAGCGCTCTGCCCTAAAAGGAGTCCCTGAAGTGTGTGGAATTTAAGGTGATTCTGATGTACACCGCGAGTGCTCCTAATTGAAGTAGTTATGGGTTTATGTGATGTCAATCGGGAGACTATGGAAGTCGCACATTGAAAGCCCAGATTTCATAGATTTTACTGCTTAGGATGAGGCTCATGTAGGTATTCAAGAAAAATTAGGCTAATAAAATGTGTTAAGTACATCTTGGCACAGAGTTCTCTGGTTAGAAACACAGTGTGAATATAGTAGGTGAAAGAAATTCGGGAAACATCGGTTTGGACTTTCCAAAATGGGCCCTGGGGATGTGTTGCTATAACCAGCTACAGCACCGACAGGTACCACAGGCCCAGGGTCTTCCCTTTGCAGTGCTGGGGATGGAGTCCAGGGCCTGAGCATGCAAGGCAGACACAACCTTGGCCCAAGAAGTTTGTCTTTCTTTCTTTCTTTTTCCGCCCCCAGTACTGGGGATTGATCCAAGGGTGCTTTAAACCAAATTGTATCCCAGTTTTTGTTTTTGTGGTTTTTTTCCAGAGTCAGGGTCTCCCGTCTCCCTAAGTTGCCCAGGTTGGCCTGGAACTCGTGGTCCTCCTGTCTCAGCCTCCTGGGTCACTGGATTACAGGCCTGTGCCACTCTGCCCAGCTCTGGCTGTGACTCCTGCATATGGATCACAGTGAACCTGAGAGACAGAGGCAGAAGAGAGCACAGAGCTCGCGGAGAGACCTATTAGTCTGCTTCGAGATCGCATGAACAGCGACTAGGACCCAGGCCTGTGAACCTGGCCCCTTTTGAGGATCCCCAAAGCTCTAAGCTCCTGGGTCTCTATCAATACTTCAAGCTCTAACGGAATTCCTCCTGTTGCCAGCAAGTTCTTACTCGCCTTTCTGAACTCCGTGAGAGAGAATATAACAGCTGTCTTACGTTTCCTGGGGGCAGGAAGAGGACTCAAACCATGGGGACTTCACACCTTCAGAGAAGCTATATTTAGTTCCTGCCTAGGTTCATCCATCCCTTCTTTTAGCGCAGTCACCTGTGGGGCTCTGTTTGAACCACGTCCAGGTGAAAATACCTGTACTTGTCTGTGTTCACCGGGCGCTCCGGGTCCCCTCTACCAGGAATCAAGTATTCTTTCATCAGAAAGCTGGGGAACCCGAGTGTATCCCAGGATGTTCTCCCTAGCAAACAGGGGCTCCCTTCTCCACAAGGACACGTGAGTGTGTGGTCCCACTCCACGGGGGACCGCAGCAATGAGCTGTCGGAAACGCCGCGTGACCCTGTCGTTGGCCTCTGCCGACGGAAGCAAGCAGGAAAGCCACTCAGCATGGCGAGGTCCCCGCAGCCGCCCCCCTGCTTTCCTTTCTGTCACAAGATCAAACAGTGGCTGCCCGTGGCTCAGCACAACAAAGAGGTTTAGGAAGCGTGGCACCACGAGGAGGGAGAACACGGGTTAGTGGCACTCGGAGATGGCAGTGGGAGGTGCTTACTGACCCGTCAGTCAAAGGACCTTCTTTACTGCATCGTGGACAAGGTGGTTTTGTGTTTTTTGGTTTTGTTTTGTTTTGTTTTTTTTTAGAACAAAAACAGAAAAGATAAAAAGAATTAAGGGTGATCGAGCCGAGACTCCAGGGCGGCAGCGTGCAGGTGGGGCAAGAGAGCAGTAGCTCGATGGCCACTTCAGATGCCATCGCACAGGTGACGGCCATGCAGTTCAAGTGACCCGAGGACACAGGCCAGCCCCAGCAGTAGCCTCAGCACACCCCCAAGGCACAGGTCAAATGGAACCTCAAACACACACAGTGCCTACAAAGGAAACGAGGCGTCGCACAGGCTGCAGCGTGGGGTCATCTAGAATCAGTCCAGCTGCCACCATGGGCATGATGGCTGTAAAGATCCTGGTCAGAGAAGTACAGACAGACACGGAGAAGATGAACAGGGAGTGACAGCCGGGCCCGGGGCCGCACGCCTCTGTGTCAGGGGTAAACTGTGTCCCCTTCCCACTCCAGCTGTGGACGTCTGCTCCCCAGCACCTCAGAATGTACCCTCATATAGAAACGGGGTCCCTGGTGGATGTCACCAGGTAGGGCGAGGCAGCACTGCAGGAGGACGGGCCAACCCAAATGTTCTCCTCAAAGGCAGCGACTTGGATGCGAGCCTGAGCAAGGGGCTGTCGTGTGGTCTCGGAAGCCGAGCCCTGGGTGACCACAGGCTGTATATGCCATGGCCGGCCAGAGAGGCCAGCAGACCACAGAGGGGAAGGGAGCCTGGACTGTCCTCATGAGCCAGCCTGCTGACACCCTGATCTTGGGCTCTGGCCTGAACACCTGAGAGCCGATCATTTGAGCCCCCCACCCCGTCTGTGGCACTTTGTTACAGCAGCCCAACAAAACATGGAATATGATAGCCACCGAGGGAACAGAGTGTCCCTCCAGGGAGGGACAGAAGGCCTGGGCGTGGGGGGAGCCGAAGGTGCTTCCAGCCTCCCCCAGCACCGCGAGCTGCAGGCTCCCTGCTCCTAGGCTGGCCGGCAGGATGAGGGCCAAGGCAGCTGTGCCACCCTAGGGGGTCTTCCCGTCTGGGTGGGCCACTGCCACAGCCAATGCTCATCTGTCCTTCAGCTGGGACACAGAAATGAAGACAACTCCAGGCCTCCAGAGCTTATTGTGAAAAGCTATATTTTTTTTTCCTTTTTGGGGCAGCCAGGAGCCCAGGGGTGCTCTGTCATTGAAATACTTCCCAAGGCCTTTTGTAAAATTTTAGAGACAGGCTGAGTGCAGTGGTGCGCACCTGTAATCCCAGTGGCTCAGGAGGCTGAGGCAGGAAGATTGTGAGTTCGAAGCCAGCCTCAGCAACTGCAGTTCAGAGAAGCCCTATCTATAAATAAAACATTCAAAAGGGGCTGGGGATGTGGCTCATTGGTTAAGCAGCCCTGGATTCAATCCCTGGTTCCAAAAAAATTGATGTCTCCATATTTTTTGAGACATGGTCTCCCTAAATTGCTGGGGCTGGCCTTAAGCTTGGATCCTCCTGCCTCAGCTTCAGGAGTCATTGGGATCACAGGTGGGTGCCACCATGCCCAGGGTGATTTTTTTTTTTTTATAGGTGGCTGAGAAAAGACATAAAAGAGTTCTGTCCAGTGCTATCTGGGGACTCCTGTATGTCTGGATGGGCTTGAAGGCCATCTCTGAGGAGCAGGCAGTCGCAGAATACCTAGATAATTTTTCACAATGACACCCAAAACAGAGGACACCTTTGCCTAAAGAAATGCTCCCAATTCTGAGAAGCCAGGCTGCCCAACACAGGTGGCTCTGGGACATACCACTCTGTGCCCATCTGTGCCAGGGAGCCCCAAGCAGGCACCCCCTGGACACACGTGGCAGGTGTCTCTGACACCAGGTGGATGTTTGTCTGCCCACCTGGAAATGTTGGGCTCATTTTTGGCTTGGTCAAGGGGCTCTGGTCCCCTGAAGGGTCCTGGCTGAGTTCCTGTCTGTATGGCTGCTGGGACCACTACCTGGAGCCCCTGTCTGCAGTATTCCAGGCACTGCCCTGCAGAAGCCTCCACCTCGACAGGGAGGTGTCTTGGACATGGTGTGGCTGGTTTTAACTGCTTTCCACCCCCACCCCCCAGATAATTCTGGAAGACTCAAACCAAATGCAGCTTTAAGGGTGGCATTTAGGCGGTACAATGGGCGGCTGAGAAGCAGCTATTTCTGGCTGGAACGAGGAGGGGTGGCGGGTGGGAGGAAAGGGACAGAATGCGCTGCTTCCCCTCCTGTTTAAGACTGTGTGGCCACCTGCTCCCAGGCCGGCCTTTCCGCTCCACAGGGCCAGTTCTGAGCCCTCACTTCCCCGGGGTCCCCATGCGGCGGCTGCACCCTGTTCCAGGGCAGTCTGAGGCCTACCCCAGTGCAGAGCAGCCCTGTGCCTGGGCAGGAACCGGAGGCTGGGACCACACCAAGGGGGCGCTGCTGCCATGTTCTCTGGGGCTGAGTCTGAAGTCACCAGGGGCTCCCGCGTGACCTTTCTGACCAGTGCCAACGTCCCCTCCAGCCAGTGGCTGCTCAGTCACAAGCTCTTCTTGGACCATCTTCAGGCATGCTGTTGACTGGCAGCAGAGTTTCTGGTTCCCCTATTATGTTCAGTCCAGAAATGTCGAGTCTGATGTCTCTGACTCATGGCATATTTGAGATAAGGGACCTGGGCAGGCAGCCCACAGCTGGATGTGGGAGGGGTTTGCACAGACAAAAGCCAGGGGTTCAGCAGCCCGACTCCAAACCTCAGTGGCAACATGATCTAATGGACTTCCATACCTTCCCTGGGCCTTGCCTTCCTCATCTGAGAAATGGGTAGAACTGTCCCAGCTCTGGGCCTCTGGCAGGGTGGAGGCTACTTTAGTTCAAGTGGTCTTAGCTGGTGAGGTCTCATAGCCTCCTCGGTGGTCATTACTCAACAGCTGGGAGTGAAAGGTGGGGAACATTGGGCCAGGGGCACAAGACTGGGCTGGAACCCAGCTGTGAAGTCCACTCAACAGCTGTAGGAATATGGCAAGGCAAGGACAGCAGAGTAGCCAGGCCCAGATGAGTGTAGAGGGGGAGGTAAAGGCCATCGGCTAAGAACCATCTTAAGAACTGCTGTTCCCAGCCCCAGGGAAGATCCCTCCCTGTCCCAGGCTCCTCCCAACCTCTGGGCTCACAGGCCACAGCTCTCGGTCCCTTGAGGAGGACAAAGGCTACCAGTGTCTTGGCTGGGCTGGTCAAAAGCCTTTTGTGCCAGCTGGCTCCCCCAGTGACCCCTAGAAGGCAGGGGCTGCCATGGGACTGGCCACCTGCACCCCACGGTGCGAGGTCGTTCCTCTCTGTCTTCTCTTGGGCTCCCAATTCCAGTTGCCTCCCCAGGCAGCTCTCAGCACCAGAGGATAAGCTAAAGGAACAGAGGCTCCGAGGGATGAAGCCACGTGGAAGGGAAGGGCAGCCAGGCAGCCTGGTCAGGCACAGGTAGAAGAGCTAATGGAAAGAGGGTTCACGGGGTGATTCTGATAACTCAGGATTTCACCTAGTTTGAGGCTGGCAAAAGTCAACTCTTCATTACCTGTTGGGAGGGGTGGGGGTGTGCTGGAGTAGGAAAGCCCAGCTGGAAGGAATTCTGAGACTTATGGGCCAGAGGCTCCCCAGAGGGCAGTGCACAGGCCCTGGAGATGCTGGAGAGGTCTGATCCTTAAAGACCTGGGATGAATGACGGAAGGATGCAGAACCTGGTCTCCCCTCCCTCAGCCTAGGTAGCTGCGGGGCTCCTGAACTGTCTGGCAAAGTCCCTAGGGGATACCCAGAAGCTGTGGCCACTGAAGCACATAGGATAGGCTCTGCTTGTCCTCACTCGAGTGGGGCTGGCACAGACACCAGAGCTTAAGCCAAGACTTATAAGAACCCCTGCCAGCAGCAAGAGTTCTCCTGGCACCAAGAACACAGAACCAAGACTGAAGGCCTCCCGGTGCCCAAGGAGAAGCCACAGGGGACTTCGTACCTCTGTCTAGCACTCTGATCCTGTTGGGGACCCACTTCTTCCCAATCTTGGTCTATACAAACAGGGAGGAGAAGGGGGTGCAGACCTGGCAATCCATGTGCTGCCCTGTGATTGGTTTAGGGATGCTCATGTGACCAGTCAGAGCCAATGAGGCTTGGTTCTGTGATTTCTGTGGAGCTTCTGGGAAGAGAACCTGAACCAATGGCTGCTACCTTGCCTTCTGGGGGAGCCCAGAGAGAGGACGCTAAGTCAAAGGCCTGGATCCAGCTGAGCCTGAAGCTGGAGCAAGCTGGGAAATTGTAGTTACTTAGTCAAATTCATTTTCTTCAGTTACTTGAATTTCAGTTATAAATATGGAAGATCACAAATTATCAAATGGTCAGAACAGTTGGGGAATTCAGAGGAAGATTTTCTGGCTCCATGCTTCATTCCTAGGAAATATTGATCTGTAACCAGAACTGGAGACCAATACCACCTCTGAATCCAGCAGAGATCTAGGGCCAAGCTAATAAGCTACATGTAGCTGGGAAGAAGGGAGCCGGTGTTAACCCAGATACCCCAGGAAGCCATCCTCCACTCCCATGCCCACTAGGGCCTGGAACTTAAACAGGGCACTGTGTTCTAGGCAGACGTCCAGCACAAACCCGCACACGCCCTGCATTAGGTCAATCCACCAGCTAAGAACCAGCCAAGAACTCCCCAGGTGACCGGAGCGTGAAGGAGGAGACACATGCTGATGCTGGGCTTCCTCTCTGCACATCCAACCACCTGCCTTCTCAAAACTACCGCTGGGGCTCAGGGACAGAGCTGAGGCCTCTCCTGCTGGAGGAAAAGCTGGAAGGCCCAGGCCCAGGAAGGCCCTCTAGGGGGAGAGGGCCAGGTTGGGGTTCAAACCCCAGCTCTGCCTCTTATCAGTCACAAAACCCTAAGCAGAGGACTCAGTTTCCTTAGCCACAAAATGGGCAGGATAGAGCTCTACCTCCCAGCCTTCGGCAAGGTCTCTGAGGCCCCTACAAGATACAGCTGGCACAGGCCACCCTATAGACCTCTAGCTCCAGGGCCTCAGGGGTCCACAAACCTCCTGAAATGGCACACAACATTTCACGTCTGTCTTTCCCAAGGAAAAGATCCGTCAGCTTTCATCAGAATCTCAAGTGGACCCTGCGATTCCAAGAACCATCTAAGTGGCCTCAAGTCTAGCTGAGGGCGGGGACAGGTTGCTCTCTTTTTTATGTATCTCCCAAACAACCAAGGCCTGACTCTGCATGTATTTGGCACCACTGAATACCTAGTGAAGGGACAGGGCTAAATGGATGAGTCATTGCTGAAATGCATGGTCAGGGCAGACCAGGCCCCACAGACGCCTCAGAGCCAGGGTCAAGCCCTTGAGATGCTCCAGCCCCCACCCCCGACTTATTCTCTGGTCTTGATGGCTGAGCCACATCCCGCCCCATCTGACACACTCAAGCAAGTGCCTGAGCTTCATTCAGCCTCAGGCCCAAGCCTCCCCAAGACCTGGTGCTACCCGACCTCTCTGCCTAGAGACCCCCAAGGGAGCTCAGCGTCCAGGCAGGGAGAGGAACCCGAGATTGGAAGCCGGACCAGGGGTTAAGCACATGTCAGCAGGATGTGGTTATTGACATGCCCGGCCCTAGAACAGTGCCTGAGGGTGGGAGTCCAGATACCCATGGACCTCATGGCGAGCAATGTGCAGAGAGCCCCACGTGCCCAGGGGTGTCACTTACAGTCTCCTAATGCCAGATTCCGGCTGGGGGGACATTCTTGGGTGTGCAATGGGTGGAGGTGGGGGTATCCGATTCTCCTCTTCCATTTCTTCACTGGAAAGAGTTGAGAGGTACGAGATCAATGAGTCAAGAATTCTGGCAGAAGTGGAACATTCCAGAAGTTCCTGCGTGACAGTCTTGAGAGGGCACACATTTTGGGGGTCAGGGAGGGGAGAATAAGGAATTTCGGGAAAGGATCTTGCCTCCTGATTTTCAATTTCCCCAGACTCTAGCCAAACAGAACTGCTCCCTGTTCCCTGTCATTACGAAAACCTGCTACACCTCTGGGTTTCTTCCGCCTGAGGCTAGTAGTCCACACCTCGGAAGTCCCAGACCTGGAACTACCCTACCTGCAAGGCAGGCCCAGTCCAAATGCCGCCTCCGCGAAGCCTTCCAGTCTCACCCAGATGATCCCACCCATCTCTGAACCCACAGCGAAGTCATAAATCTCCCAGTATTAGTTATTTTTTTTAATAACTTTAATTATTTATATGTGATGCTGAGGATTGAACCCAGTGCCTCCCACGTGCCAGGCAAGCGCTCTACCATTGAGCTACAATCCCAGCCCATCTGTTCTTCCTTCTGGCTTTTCCACCAACAGATATGTGTTATGCACCTACTGTGTGCTAAGCTCCATTCTAAATGCTGGAAACTGGGAACATAGCCAGGGGCAAGACCAACCAGGCCTCTGGTCCACCCGGTGAGATAGCTTATAGTCTGCCACGGAAAACAAGCACATTAAAGAACAGGAACGCGGGGGTGGGGTGGGGGGTGTAAGGGCCGTGAAGCAAGCAGAATCGGGCAAGGCATGAGCGCAATAGGCTGCTCCATGGTTTTATCAATGCCAGGGACTGAACCCAGGGCGCTCCAACACTGAGCGCCAGCCCTTTTTTTTATGTTGAGACGGGCCCTCACTAAGTTGCTAAGGCTGGCTTCGAACTTACAATCTTCCTGTCTCAGCTTCCAGGGTTGCTGGGACTCCAGGCATGTGCTACTGCACCCAGGAGGGCACTCCCTTGGACGGGGGTGAGGAGGAGGTGACACTTGACTGATCTCTGGATAATGAGAAGTCAACCATGGGGAAAGCCAAGTGAATCCCTTCCTAACAGCAGGAGCAGCACGTTCAAATATCCTGAGGCAGGAACAAGTAAGGTGGGATTTTCTTTTTCTTTTTTTGCAGTGCTTGGAGGAATCAATCCAGGGCTTGCACATGCGAGGCAGGTGTTCTACCACCGAGCTCCATTCCCAGCCCACAGCCTGGTGTATTTTGAGTAACAAAAAAGCAGAGCAGTGTATATGAAGCCAGGAGCCTTTGAGGGGGATGGTCTCAGACAGAGACTCAAGTCAGGTGCAGCACAAAAGCCAAGAATATGTCTTTCTTTCTTTCTTTTTTTTTTTTGGTAACTCATTTGGAGGCAATAGCCGAAATGTATGGCTATGGCTATGAGGCTGCTTGTAATCTTCATTTACTACAAATGCTCTTATTTTGGCTGCAAAAATATTAAGAAAGGTGCGTGGTTTTGGGGTGCTACCCCAAGTCTTGCTGCCGTGTTCCTCCTAACAGCAGAAAAGCTGTGAATGAGCCAGTGCTCTGGCGAGCTGCACAGAGGATGAGCTTGTGTGTAAGGCTCTGGCCCGAAAGGGGTTCCTTGAAGACACAGACGGATGCCGACCCCTGGAGGCAACCGCACCAGAACTCCAGCAACTCCAGAAAGGAGGCGCTGGGGCTGTCCAGGCCAGGCCAGCCCTGCAGTTCTCAGGGACACTCACCTCTTGTAGTAGGCCAGCTCCTCCTGCAACAAGAAGACCTTGGACTTGAGCTCGTTCCTCTCGTGCAGCACATCCCGCAGCTCCTGCAGTGTGAACCGGGGGCGGTTGGGGTCCTTGAGATCCATGGCCATCTTCTCCGTATCTGAGACACACTCCTCCCCGCCCGGCTCTGTCTGGAGGAGGAGAGAGGCTCATGAATTCCTGGCGGCCGCCACCAGCGCCCACTCTGCGTCCTGATGCAGCTTGAAGTTCCCACCTCCTGGGTAGGAGCAGCTTGCCAAGGGCGCTATTTTAAGCCCCCGAGGGCGGCCTCTGCTCCCGTTCTGTACGGTCTCCCCTGGAGATGGAAGCTGCAGGCCACCTGTTCATTGTGCCCCCTCAGTAGCCGACTCGCATCCCTGTGCCTCCCCACTCAGAGTTCTGTTATAAAGAACATTCGAGAAGCCCCCGCCTCCAACACCACCACCCTCCTGCATCTGCCAGTGCTTCCCTTCCAGGTTCTCCACTCACACCCCACTAAGACCTTTGCTGATATGGCCAACGTGGTGGTTTTCGCAGCCTACACCTCCTTCCATTCATTTCCCCCTCTGCCAGGGGGCCTCGGCAGTTTGCCCCAGCAGGGGTGCACACGTGGGCATTTCTCTTCCACAAAGGTGCACGTGGATGCCAGTGTTTTGCTAAGTAGCTATCCTGGGTCAGACCCTGTCCTCCCACCTTCTTCTAGAGCAAGGAGCCTTTTTCCTTCAAATCATAGTAAAATATACACGACATAAATTTTACCATTCCCCCCCCCTTTTTTTTGCAGTGCTGGGGACCAAACTTGGTATTGCACACACTAGACACCTTTACCTTTTTTTCTTTCTTTTTTTGTGCCTGTTGGGATTGAGTTCAGGGGCACTTAACCACTGAGCTTTATTTAGAGACGGGGTCTTTATTTAGAGACAGGGTCTCACTGAGTTGCTTAGAGCCTCACTAAGTTGCTGAGGCTGGCTTGGAACTCATGATCCTCCTGTCTCAGCCTCCTGAGCCACTGGGATTACAGGCATGTGCCACTGCGCCCAGCCCGTTATCTCCCTCTCTTTTTTTGTGTGTGTGTGGTGTTGGGGATTGAACCTAGGGCCTTATGCATGCAAGGCAAGCACTCTTACCAATTGAGCTATGTTCCCAGCCCTCCATGTGATCTTTCTTAAAGTATTCTTAAAGTAGCTTTCACCTACAACTCTCACCTCTAATCCCAGAACATTCTCCTTGCCCCAAAAGGAAGCCCCACACTCATCAAGCAATCACTGTCATTCCTCCATCACCCCAGCCCCAGTGGCCACCAGCCAGCTTGCTGCCTCTGGCTGTGCCTGTTCTGGATGCTACTCGGGAGGCCAAGGCAGGAGGATTCTAAGTTTGAGGCCAGCCCAGAGCCACTTAGCAGGACTGTCTCAAAATAAAATGAAAAAAGCTGGGGACAGAGCTCAGGGCTACAGTGCTCATGCAAAGACTCTGGGTTCAGTCCAGAGCAGAAACCAGCTCAGTTCCCCTGTTTGTGGGTGATACTCCTTTGTGGGCATAGACCACACTCTGTCCAGTTGAGGGGCGCTGGGCTGTTTCCGCCTCATGGCTACTGAAAGGTGATGTTAACATACTTCCTGTCCAAGTATCTGTCTGAACCGCCATTTCCCCTCTTTTGGATACACACCTAGGTATGTATCTGTGAACTGCTGGATCTTCTGTGACCCTATGTCTAACTGAGCTGGGTTTTCCATACCAACCTGTCCCCTGCAGTGGCTGCCAACTTCACATTCCCACCAGCAAAGCACAAGGTTCCAGTCTTTCCACATTCTGGCCAACTCTTGTTACTTCCTGTATAGGTGTAAGTAGGGATCCCCAGTCCTTTTTATTTTGAGACAGAGTCTCACTAAGTTGCTGAGGCTGGCCTTAAACTTGTGATCCTCCTGCCTCAGCCTCCCCAGTTGCTGGGATTACAGGCATGTGTCACTGCACCCAGCCATTTTCCATTTGGGAGGTATTGCGAGCTGTCCCCAAGTCACCTAGCCAATCTACAGGTGGTCTATCCTGTCCAGGTGGTGAAGTATCTGACAGTCTTGCACCTTCAGTGTTCCACAGTCCCTCAGAAGAAATGGACAAAGGCTGGGACATCAGTGGAGACCCTGGAACAGGGAAAGGGGGATGCACACAGTCAACCCACCCACCCACTCCAAAAGGAACTCTACAGCGGCCCAGGGAAAATGGGACTTGAGCCAGGGTGGTGGCACAGGGCCGAGAGGCCAAGGACTCCCGAAGGCTGAGCTGCAATGCTTCACATCCCGAGAGTCTAGGATGGGCTGTTCTGGGAAAGGACACGTGAAAGGAGACACCACCCACAGGGCAGCTCAGGTGACAGAGGAGCCACAGGCGGGCGCTGGGGGGAGAGGGGTTCTGACCACACCAGCCTCAGAATGGGGTGGGTGGGCACCAGGGAGGCATCTCCAGCACAGGAAACTCTAACCCGTCACATGTGCCCCCAAACTCCAGCAAATGGGCCTCTTCCCACCCGAGAGCTAGCAGGACAAACTCCCAGGAGTCCATGCCCCAGAGGGTCCCCAGGATCTGCTGGTTCGACAGGTTCAGGTGGGCTGTGTTGGCAGGAGCCTCCAGGGCTACTCTCACACCACCACAGCCACGTACTCAGACAGCACGCTCCTGAAGGACACCTTCAGCAAGTGACTGCCACCCGCAGGCTCCCACCCTGCCTGGGCTCCCCACGGAGTCAACCCGGTCTGGCATTCATCCAGCCCTGACTGAGCACTAACTCTGTATCTTGGTGTCACTGAGCTCAGTCCTGGGGACAGGTGCAGGCAGACACACAGAAACCGACCAGCTGACACAATAAAAGAGGAACGGAGACACCAAACTCCAACTGGCAACAATCCGGGAAGGTCCTGGGCTGGAGGTGGTCTCTGTGCATGGGGTCCTGACAAATGTGAGGAGTTTGTCATGGACTCTGCGCATCAGGGGCGTGGACCAGAGATCGCAAACCGGGGGGCCTCCAGACCCCCACTGCTTGGTGAGGCCCTCGCTGCGTTCTAGGATGATCGAGCCAGTTACCAAAGGCGAAGGGTCAGGAGATTGCACGCTGAAGTTGGGGTTCGAGACTTCCTTTTAGAAAAAGCATCCGAGGACCCGGCCACCCTGGGCTCAGCTGCCCAGAGCGCCCCTGGGCTGGTGAGGAGCAGCAGCGGCTGACTCTTCGCCTCCCTTTTACCTTCGCAGCCTGGACACTGCGCCACAGCTTCAGCCCCTCCCTCCCCAGGAGACACAGGGCCTGCCCTGTCTCTGGAGGCCCGTGGGGCAGGGACAGAGCCTTTCGAGGGACTGTCCACTCCTCAGCACCCAGGAGGGCTTCGTGCAAGCCACCAGCTCCTCAACGGCCTTCATTTCCCTTAGCACTGATGACCAGGTCCCCGCTACACATGCCAGGGTCCTCGGGGCACAGAGGGTCTAAGCTCACCGCAGCACAGAAGGCAGTTTTGAGGGGATGAGGCCCTGACCCCCCAATGCGGAGGGGATCCCCAGCCAGGTGCGCAGGCCCTGACTCGGGCACCAAGGTGGCCAGCGTGGGGGAGGCAGGACTGGGGCTCTGCTTTTCCAGAGGCCCAGGTGGTAACCCCAGCATCATGGGCAGCCCTGTCCTGACCAGAGCCTGAGAGGCTCTTCCCACGATGGCAATCGGGCCAGCCCAATAAGCCTTCTAGGCTTATCCCACGAGGAACCACAGAGGTGGCTCTGCTTATCTTGGATAAGCCAGGCCTCTGCCTTGTTCACGGGTCCCTGGAGGCTCTCTGGGCTCAGCTAGAGGGATAGAGACACCTGGAGGCTTCAGCTGCTTTACAGGGAGGCCCAGGGGACGGCTGGCCAGCAGGGCCTGTCCAGGGGCCTCCGGGAGGCAGCACCTTGGGTCAGGGCCTCCGTTCAGAGGCCTGGCCTCCCAGGAGTGTTCCCGCTGCCAGGCTGTGGAGGTGCCCATGAACGTATTTCAGAGCAGTCCCTGGCCCAGCAGAGGGGACGACAGTGCTCTGGTCACACTCTGGACCCCTGTGCCTTCCAGGCTAGACCCCTTCAAACCCTGTTCCACACACCAGCCACCAGGCCCTGTTTTTAGAGAGGGCAGTTAGCAATCAAAACTGGTAGGTGGCGAATCCGAGAGGGCAGGGTGGACTTGCGTCTCCTGTGGAGCTGTCCTGTGGGACCTCTGCAAGGAGCCCACCTCCGCTCTCAAGGACACCTCTGAGGAAGCTGGATTCTGCCCACAGGAGATGCCAGCACAGGGCTGGAGGTGGAGGGGCAGGGCCTGCTGCTCCTGGGGGCTCCTCTCTGGGTGACAGAAACGGCCCAGAGCTATTGTCCACGCAGTGCAGTGAGCCATTCAAACCCACAGGACTGTACACCTGAGTCCAGGCACCGGCTCTGCCACAAGCCACATACCAGTCTTAAAATTTTACTTATTTATTATTCTTCCTTTTTTGCAGTACTGAGGATAGAACCCAGGAGGGCTCTACCATTGAGCTACACCCCCAGCCGATTTTATTTTGTTATTTTGAGAGAGTGTCTCAAAAGTTGCTGAGGGCTTTGCTAAATCACTGAGGCTAGCCTCAAACTTGCAATCCTCCTGTCTCAACCTCCTGGGTAGTGGGATTACAGACATGCCGCAGCCGCCGGCTGAACTGGATTCCTTAGACGGCTGAACTCTGTGGCGTACGGTCACACCTCAGCAAGGAGGATGTGAAAACACGCGAGGAGGGGGGGAGTCGCCTGCAGCTTACACTGAGTAGCATTGAAGGATCGTAGGAATTGGGGAAAACCAGAAGAGTCCTGGCTCTGGGATCCCCCACAGCACCCGACTCCCACCCCAGATGTGCTCCAGGATGGGCCCCACCCCAGTCACATGCAGCTTTTTCCAGCGGCTCCTGTGGTCCCCCTGCCTGCTACAGCCTGCCCCACATTCCACTGGAAACCCACCCACCCCATGAGGCCAGAACCCTGGGGTAGTGCCCTAGGCCCAGTGCTGCCTGTGGCCCCACAGGCCTCTGCCCTCCCTTGACTCCCCACTTCCTGCCCCCCCCCACGTCTTCTCTCCCTGCTGCTGGGGTGAGCCTACTGGATCCCTTCCGGGTCACTATGCTCCTCTGTCCATGGAGGACGTTGGCCGCTGATCACCCTAGAGAGGCCACACAGAGCCAGCAATGAGGCCACAGAACCCTGGGCTCCTGCACCAACTGACAACCTCAAAACAGCAGAGCTCCCAGGGACAAGGATCGGAGCTGGAGTGAATGCTGCAGCCTGCTGCTGTCCCCACCGCTGTCCCTGCCCCCCACTCCCCACCCCTCACTGCCAGAAAGGGAAGTCAAAACCAGCAGGCGCTGGGAGGTGTGGAATGTCCCTGTCCTGTCCTGTCCTCGCCTGAGATCTGGGGCGGGGCCCAGGAGCCTCGTGGCTGTGGCCGGGATGGTGTCCTCGGGACATAGTTTGGACCAGGACTGCCTGGCCAGGAGACAGGCCTGAGTTCCCAGGGACCCATAGTGGGCAGGGCCACCCAGAGCGTGGCCCGTGGCCCTGTCCTGGAGCTGGCTTCCTTCCCTCCATCGCTGCCACAGCTCGTCCCGCCCTCACCTTCTGCACGCCCGGATCACAGCAACCATTTAATTTAGGTTTATGTCACATTTAGCTAAAAGCAGGGCCCTAACCTGTTTCTTTACAGACTTCCCCGCAGCCTGTGTGTCGTGGCCACACCTGCACTCTCAGCTATTCAGGAGGTTGGGGCAAGAGGACCACAAGTTTGAAGCCAGCCTGGCAAGTTAGCAAGACCCTGTTTCTAGACAAAAAGGGCTGGGACGAGGGGTGGAGCTTGGTGGCCTAGCGAGCACAAGGCCCTGGGACCACAGATCAGCAACCAGCCGGCCCCAGGTACAGGCTACTCAATGGCTGCCCTGGGTCTCCACCCCCCTGACCCAGCCCACTGTGGCCAGGTGCCTGGCAGTGACTGCAAACCCTGACCAGCAACAAACCTCTGCAGGAGGGGAGGGCAGCTCCACTCCCCGGTTCACTCTGTTCTTCTCAAGCAGCAATCCACCTCCCGCACTTCCTATGGTAGACCTTGGCATGGGCTCTGGCCTCCAGCTAGAGGAGGCTCCTCCCCCATCACCACCTGGGGCCAGCTGTCCTGCCCTGTGCTCCTGACGCACCCTGGGGCTCACTGGGTGCTGGACATGCTAGTGCCCACTCACCTGGTGCCCACCATCACCTGAGCCTACCTGATAGTCCCCTCCACGCACTCAGGGTGCAGCGTCTGCCTCTCCATTTCTGCCCCAGGACCTGCTCAGGAGGTGGGGGAGATGACAATCTCAGGCCACCCTTAGCCACCTGGGGACCAACCTACAGAAAGCGGGTTCTGGGAGGTGCTCTAAGTGCTTCCTAGAGCTTCCAGGCCTGGGGCGTGACCTCCATGCCACACCCTCCAGTTCCCTTCTCCTCCTTCCGTTTCACTAGCCTGATTAACAGGATCTCCTCCAGCCAAGTCCTGCTCCCAAGCTGTGCTGTGAGGGACCCCAACTAAGACACCCCTCACCACTGGGAGTCCTCTCCCAAGCCCAGGTGGTTGCTGGGGCCCCGCCTGGCCCACCTGGCCCCACAGGCCTCTCCGACCTCATTCAGCCAACCTCCCTCAGCCTCCCTGTCTCTCCCACCCTGCACACCACCCACCCTAGCCTGTCTTTTTTTTTGGTAAAGGATGGAGCTCAGGGGCACTCAACCAACCACTGAGCCACGTCCCCAGCTCTGTTTTGTATTTTATTTAGAGACAGGGTCTCACTGAGTTGCTTAGGGCCTCACTAAGTTTCTGAGGCTGGCTTTGAACTCATGGTCCTCCTGTCTCAGCCTCCCCAGTCACCGGGATCACAGGCCCCGGCTTCGGACTCTAGGGCTGAGTCCTCCTGAATGGACAGGCCCATTAGTACACTGAAGGATCACACTGCTATGAACATCTGTGAGTGGGTCTCCATGTGGATGCTCATTTGCAGCTCTCCAGGTGTGTCTAGAAGGCATTGCTGGGTCACATGGTGTGTGACCCTGGCCAATGTCTGTCTCCCCTGCTCAACTGTGAGCTCCACGTGGACAGGGACGGGGTCTGTTTGGCCCATGTGTCCTCCCCTGTGTCTGCCACATGGATGCCAATTATTTGAATGAATACGCAAGGCAGGTGCCTGGTGACCACCACTGACCTGAACACCCTGGGCTGGAATGTTGGGAGTTCTAGGCCCAGCTCTGCCTCTGTTCTGCTGTGTGTCTTCAGGCCAGTAGCTGGTTCTCTCTGTTCCTCCCATTGTCTTAAGTACAATGGAGAAAACAAGGCAACTCTGCCTACCTCCAGCCAGCTCAGACTCACCCTCCCGCACACCTCGGGCACCCCTCCGCACCAGCTTCTGCTTACCTCTGGCTCCTCCTCCCCGTTCTGGCTGAACTCTCCCTGTAGCCTTTCTCGAAGCTTCCCAAGTTCTGCCCTTAGGCTGCCCATCTCCTGCTCCTTAGTCTGCAGATCTGCCTCCAGCTCCACCTTCTGTTCGATCAGGGCCTTCCCCTGGGCCTCTACCACGGTGACACGGTGCCGGAGGTCGTGGTTGATCTTCATCAGCCGAGTCTGCTGCTGTTGTAGCTGTAGAAAGAGGGAGGTCATTGTGTAGGGCTGCCAGGTACGGTGGCTCCGGATGGGCACCGCACGGGGGCAAATCCCCTTCAGGTTCACCAGGCATATTACAGATCTTTACTTGCTTGGAAGTTGTTCATGTTCTTATGACTCTGTTGACAGCAGAGATGGGCATTAGTACACTTACTGAGTTCACTTTATGGCAGATGGAAGCCAAGTGTCTTGTTAGAATCAATGTATCACGACAATTTTCCAGCAGATGGAAATAACAGGCCTCAATAAAGAGGCGTCATTTTTGATTCAGGTGGAGACACTGCAGGTTCCTGGGGCAGCACGGGGCCCATGGGGCCTGGCCTCACAGGGGAACAGAGCGGTGGGCTGGAGGAAGCCCCAGGGTCACAGCAAAGGGGACTCCTGGGCCTGCAGTGTAGACTCTGCTGAGGCTCCTCCACCAGCCCCGATTTGAGGCCGAGCCTCCGAGGATGCCCAACCTTCGGAGCCCAGAGAACGAGACGGGAAGCTCCCGAGTGGAGCGTCCGGTCTCTGGCTGGAGCCAGCACTCGGGAGGAGGTCTGCCCGCCACTCACAGCCTCCACGTCCTCGTTCTTGAGGCCCAGCTCCCTGTCCTTGGCCCGGATCTCGTCACGCTGCTTGTCCACCACCTCCTTCAGCTTCTTCATCACCTGCCGCTCCCGTTCCGACATGCCTGGGTGGGGACACCAGCCCGTGACTCCACCTGCCTCTTTGCGTGGCCGCCCCGCAGCTCCTCCACCCAGACCCGGCCTCCCCCAGCCTTGCACCAGTTGCAGCCGACCACTGGCACCTGCTCTGTCCCCACCCCTCCCAGCCCATCCACCTCAGAGCCTTTGCCCTCCTGTCCCCTCTGCCCAGAACTCCCGACCTCCCCTGCAGCCTCCAGGTGCGCCTCCATCCAGCCACCTCTGCACACAGGCTCCCTCCCTGACCCCTGCCAAGCTGCCACCACCCCAGCGGCCCCGCAGTCCCCCCTTCTCCTGCTTCACCTTTCAGCACTTTTTACAACTCCTGTAATTCTGTCACTGAAGGGAGGGTGGCAGAGCAATGAGACCCCCAGGCCAAGCTCTGGCTCCAGGCTCTGCTCTTTGAGCCTCAGTTTCCTTATCTATAAAGTAGGGAGGTGGCTGTACCTCCCCCAGGGCTGCTGAGAGGCTGAACCAAGTGACACCGAGGACATGCATCATCTGACACCTGGCACCAGTGGGAGGTCAGGAGCTGCCACCCAGGGCTGGCTTCCTCACGGTTCATTCACCCCCACCCTGCCCCAGTCCCAGGCAGACCATGGGCCATAGGGGGACAAGGCTTCAGCTGACCCCTCCCTGTCACATTGCCGGGCCTCCACAGTGCCTGCAGATAGCAGGTCAAGCTACATGGGGAGTTTGCTGAACGGTAAGGACAGGGGCTGTATGAGTTTCCTACGGCTGCTGTAACAAATGATCTGCAAACTTGGTAGCTCGGTCCCATCCAGGTCTTCCCACCGACCTCCTCTCTCCCAGCAGGGATATTCCCCAGCAGGTTTCACCCACAACAATAACCATCCTCCCAGGTGTGTGTATTACAGTGTGTGACACCCGGTCACC